TTCCTCCTGCTCAGAGACTGCTAGCTTCCAACCACTAGTGGTGGGCACAGGGCCCGGACACTGCTGGACTCTGTGCCACCCCCTCCCTGGCAGGACGAAGCTCTGCCCGTGGTCCTGGTGGGCGTGTTCATCGAGCAGCCCACGCCCTTCCTCTCCCTCTTCTTCCGGCGGCTCCTGCGCCTCCGCTACCCCCAGAAGCAGATTCGGCTCTTCATCCACAACCATGTGAGTCGGTCAGGGAGTGACGGGCCTTGGGATAGCCGGGCCAAGTGCAGGAGGGTGGGATCTGTGTCCCAAATCCTTAGGAGCACTCAGAATTAGAGTGCCTGGGTTTGTTCCAACATCACTGCTTTCACTGGCTGTGTGGCCATAGTCAGATACTTCTGTTTCCATTTTCCCATCTGTTAAATACGGGCAGCAGTGCCAACCGCGTAGCACGGTCACAGGGGTAGCAAGTTGATGCTTGAAGCACTTAGAGAGTGCCTGATGCACAGTCACGGCTTAGAGCGACTGCTGTTCTCTCTGTTAGCCTCACTACCCCAAGGAAGGGACTATTGGCACCAGGCTTATGCATTGGGCTGCTAACCGCAAGGTTGGTGGTTCAAACCTACCGACCGCTTCACGGGAGAAAGATGATGCTGTCTCCTCAGAAACGTTAGACAGTGTCGCTCTGAGTTGGATCAGCTGATGGCAGGGGGTTGGTTGGATTTTCGAATCAGTGGCAGTGGTGGCTCCGTATTGGAACTTCACGTGCGTGAGACCCTGGGATTTTGCAGCTGGTGCGTATGGCCGGGCATAGCTCCCACCTGTCTGTGAGTGGAGGCTGCTGTGTAGGAAGCTGAGCAGCGTTTAGCAGAGGGCTGGGAAGAAAGATCTGGCGGTCTTCTATCAAAAACCAGCCAGTAAAACCCAATGGACCGAGCGGCCCCAGGGAACAGAGGTCCCTGGGCATCGAGGGTGGCTAACAACAGGATTGCCAAGTCAATTCTCATCTTGAGGGCCTTGTTGGGGTGGGGACGGGCTAGGATTCAGCCCCCAGCCCCGTTTCCTGCCTTTCCCCCTTAACCAGAAGAAGCTTGCCCTTTGCTAAGGTCAGTTTCCCTCCTTGGGATGCTGGGAACATTCTTCAGCCCCTACCCCTTCTTCAAGGCTCCTTGCTGTCCTGGGGTCTGCTCCGCTGCCCCCTCTGGGAGGAAGGTCCTTTCTGAGATCTCTCCAAGGACCCAGCCTCAGCTCACCCCCCTCTGCATGCAGCATGCCACCTGGGCTTGGCCCTGCCCTTGGGAGGCTGCCAGCAGTCCTGCAGACATCAAACCCTGCCCCTGGGACCCTGAACAGTCACCAGGCAGCCCGTCCGTCAGGCCCTGCGGTGTGCTACTTCTAATTCAGGGAGGCCTTGTAGGCCATGAAGCCTAGTTGACCTCCCGCCCTGAGTGAGGACGCTGAAGCTGGGGAAGGGGAAGTGCCTTGCCCAGGTCAGAGGCTAGTCCTGACAGCCAGGGCTCGCTCTGGACGCTGGACCCTGGACCCTGGACCCTGGGTGTGTGCTACCACCTGCTCTGCTCCTCCTGGCCAGGTGTTTCCCAGATCTTCTGGAGTGGTTTTTAATTTGTTTTGAAAAGTTTTTGGGGTTTTTTTAAACTCCTCAAACCGCCCCACCCCTCATTTTTTTGTTTGTGTTTTAAGTGTGTGAAAACACCAGTAACAAAATCTACTCCATCTCTCTACTTTGCACATGTGCAGTCCAGGGGCACTGCTGACCCTCTTCAAGCTGCACGCTCCTCCTTGCCAGCCTTTGCCGCGTCATTGTGCCACATTACCATGCTCCCCCTCTCCCACCGTCAGTAACTACGAGTAACCTCTATCGTCGTCATCCTTACCAGGGGCCACTGAGCCAGTGCCGGCCCATAGCAACCCTGTGCCCAGCAGAACGGAACACTGCCCAGCCCTGGCCAGCCTCCTCACTGACCCCTTGCCCAAGCCCTTGTTGCAGCTGCTCTGTCCGTCTCCTTGAGAGCGTTCCTCTTTTTCACTGTCCCTCCACTGCACCAAGCGTGATGTCCTTCCCTCGCACTTGTCTCTCCTGACAACACGCGCAACGTCTATAAGAAGAAGCCTCTACTGTGCACCTGGCTGTATTTCGTCCAGGAGAGATTGGTCCTTCATGCAGGCTGTGGTACGTGCAGTGTTCTCCAGCACCATACGTCAAAGGCATTGGGTCTTCTTGATTCAGTGTCCAGCTCTCCCAAGCAGAGGAGGCAGTGGAAGAGGCCCTGGCTTGGGTCAGGTGCACCTTAGTCCTCGAAGTAGCGGCCTTGCTCTTCAGTCCTCTAAAGAGGCCTGTGCAGCCGGCTTACCTAATGCAACACGTCTCTGAGCATTGATTGTGAACCCAAGCATGACAAAGTCCTCGACAGCTTCCACCGTGTCTCCACTTATGATGATGCTTCCCACTGGTCAGTTGTGAGGCTTTGCGTCTTCCTTCCGTTGAGCCGTGACCCACACTGAGGAGTGCAGTCCTTGACCTTCATCAGCAGGGGCGTTAGTCCTCCTTGCTCTCAGCCACCTGCATATCCCAGGTTGTTGACAAGCCTTCCTCCGATCCTGATGCCATGTTCTTCCCTATATAATCCAGCGTCTCTGATGATATATAGGACATGGAGAGCTTCCGTATATTTGCTTGGATCATTTTAGTGAGGTCATCTGTTATTGACACCACCCCCCCCACACACAGCGCTGCCCTTTAGTGTGACTGAGGTGTAACTGTAGATATTGCCTCCTCTGGTGACTGACTTGCCTCGCTCTGCACGCTGGTCGTTTCAGTCACGCCGAGGCATGCATTAGGCCTTTGCTTCTCTTCCGGGCTGAGTGGTGGGTCCTGGTGTGTCTGGGTCACGTCTTGTGTATCCACTTCATTTGTCGGGCCATCGAGTTCCTTGTAACTTACAGTGACCCTACAGGACGGCCCCCCGTGGTTTCCCACGTTGCCATCTTTATGGGTGGTAACCCGGTGGCATGAGTGGGTCACACACTGGGTTGCTAAACGCAAAGTCAACAGTTCAAAACTGCCAGCCGCTCCACAGGAGAGAGATGAAGCTTTCTACTCCCTGAGGAGTCAGTCTCGGAGACCCATTGGTGCAGTTGTACCCTGTCCTGTAGGGTCACCGCGAGTCAGCATCGCCTCAGCGGCAGTGCGTTGAGGCGAATCAATCTCTGTAGACGCAGACTGACATGCCTTCCTCCTGCTCAGAGACTGCTAGCTTCCAACCACCAGTACTGAAGCCAGCAGCCGAGTACTCTACCCCAAAGCCACCAGGGCTCCTTCGTGGGAGACGCCTCGGCTGCTAAACCAAAAAGC